ATGCTCCGTGAATGTGTCGCAGGGTGTCTTGGAGCTCTGCAGACTACTTCTCATCAGAATGTCAAGCTGAAGCTTCGTCTCCCGGAAGGTTCTCCGGCGAAGTTTGTGAAAATCAGTGGGGCCCTTCACACCACTAAGAGGGCCACCGGCCGCGACGCGGAGGCCGCTCTTGGTGATCTCAGATTTGGAGATAAAAGGGATATCTTGGTTCAGCTTGTTATTCAGCCCGACAACACTTCCCAGGAGAACATGCCGCAAGACCCCTGGGAGAGTCTGGTCTCGGGACTGGAAGCCCTCGGTGGCGGGTCGGATGGAGATGAGCAGCGAGTGCTTAGCGTAGAGGAAGTCCCATTGATCCAAGCGGATATCACTTATGGAGATCTTCTCCGTGATGGCCATTTGACGCATTCGCCGCGACCATCACTTTTGGCGATTACTATGCTTCCACCAAACCCTAGGATTCGACATTCCAGTCGACCGATGACGCCCCCTATTCCTCCGCATCCTTCAATTGTTCAGCGACGCATGGAGCTACTCACGTCGGATATGCTAACTAGAGCATTGACTTTGGTGTCGCGTGGACATCATGATCGTGCGCAGCACTTATTGGTTGAGACCCGCAGTATCCTGAAGGGTCTCGGTAAAGGAAGCCTTCCCCCGCTCCCACCTGGTGCTGTTAAACCATCAAGCATCAGCGACTCTGGCAGCAGGGGTGACACGCCTACATCCACTTCTCCAAGATCTTCTACTTTCGCCGATAGCCACTCCTCAGCTGTCTCGGACTCCGCCACGGTAACACCAGTAGCCGCGGTTGATGCGCAGACCATGCAGGCGCTGGATGGTGACCTACAAGCAGCGCTCGAGTGGATCAATCATCCTGCAGTGTTTGGCCGGGACTCCCGCAAGGCTGTACTGCAGGGTATTGGCGTGATTTCGTCGCAGCGGGCGTACACCTTCCGATCGCCCTCCGAGGCGCACTGGGCCCAGCGGGTGGCTGGAGTTCGACGACTGACCGAACGGTCTAAGGAGTGGCGTGAGACCGGCGATGACGCATTGACTGAAGAATGAACGCTCTGACATGACTCGCTTATAAGCTTTTCTTATTTCGTCGCATATGTTTTCTATTTCCCCTTAATTACCCCTTGAGTGGCTACTAATACTCCCTTTTTCCCCTTTGATTGTTTATGATACCACTTTGTTCACCATGACTGTGCAGCATGATACCACGGGTTTGGTTATTTTGTAATTTTTCATCTGTTCTTACTGGTTGTACCTGTGTATATATCAGCTTATATTCTTAATCTTGGGTGACGGATCGGGATCGGACTGAAACTGGATGAATTACGCATCTTACTTGCTTTGTTGTTTTTCCTAGGCGGCTACAAGACGAGGCTCGTCTATATACATCACCTGTCTCTATTGCGTATTTCCTGGGTTGCGACGCTCTTTGCGATATGCCACGATCAATATAATCGAGAATCTAGATACAATATGGTCTTACGTCTTCTACCATTCTCGTTTGGTTGATATTAGGGCTCACAACCACCACTATGCATGCAAGCGATGCTCCCGTCAGGCTTGACTCCCTGCGCCAAAATTTGTCCGCGACTCCTAGCTCTTCCGGTCTGTTTGCCTTAACAAATTCAATCCAGACTCAAAGTGTCATCCGGGGAACTACGCCAAAAGTAATGTTCAGCTTTGTTTCTATCACTGTACCATGTCTAAGTAACTACTGGAGTGAACTAAAACCAGACTATTGTTGGACCCTTCCTTACGCATGACTTACCCGCCTACATACTAGTAGTCATTCTGAAACTCAAGCTTCGAACCATGGACCCGTCAAGGTCCCTATGTTGAATGGAAAAGAACGAAAAGAACCTGGGTAGACTACTATGTATAGAAACAAAACATGTCTGTATGATGCAACCGCCCAATTGCTCACAACCGAAAGAAAGATGGTTGAGCCGAGAGAAGCGCCGGAAATGGCTGTGCGGTGATAGCTGAGATCTTTATTTAGAAATGGCGAACTAAAAGAGTAGCTCATAGCAGATGGTGGAAGAAAGAAGTTATATGAAAGACCCTGCGGTGGAGTGGTATTGTACGATACCGTATTATACGGTGATACAGAGCCATACTTGGAGACGGGGGATGTGATCAGGACAAGGGGGCCAAAGAGAGCACAAGCTGGGAAATGATTGAAGCGCCGTAATAGCTATGAAGGACAGGAATGCTTCTAAAATTAAAACAGATCAATGATGAGCCCAGTAAATGGCTCAGGAAGAGAGGAGGGGAGGGGGGGGGGGGGGAAACAAGGAAACGATGTGAAAGTAGACGGGATAAAAGGCACTTGGCCGAAGGTTTGCGCTGAAGTAGAACGGCACAGTGTTTGTGATCCAATGAGAACGTGGAAAATGATGTAGATATGGCTACTAATGCAAGATATCTCCAGATAATAATAGAAAAACCAAAATGAAAGTCAAGTTTCGAGAGGGTTTGATAGAGGGATCGGTTGTGGCATGCCCTGTTTAGGAACAACTTCCGACGAATCGACGCTCCTCTACCAGAGATAGGGGGGCATTGGACCCTGTATATGCAGATATGGGTTAATCTAGTTCGAATGCCCTGATTGGCTTGATTAGCGTGACGCCGTTGTGGATTGTTTCGTCGAGTGAATGCTATTGTTATGCGTGATCGAAAGCTCTGACTTCTCGTGGGTTGCCACCTGGGGCTGGAGTCTGGAAAAAAGGATGCTCCCGTTGAGAAATACATAGATCTATACAGGCTGGAATTCACCCAAGCAAAACTGGAAGCAGCCAACTCAAAATCCAGCGTCCTATATACTTAGAAATATCGTGGTGAATGCATAGAAAGTAGAGGTGAGGTTGCAGGGCCAAAAATAGAACATCAGATCTGCGGCCTTACCGCGGGGGATTCTATTATTAGATTTAGTCGCTGCCAAACCCCGACAATCCAAATCACAACCACCATTGGCCGGAACACCCTCAGTAGCACATTTAACTGTCAGAACTAAACTGCGCTTTTTTCCTCAGTCGGTACTTGATGCACATTTATTGGTAGAATGATGGGATGGCCGGTTTGAGCTCACCCCTCCGGCGCGTCAAACCCTGGACGAATGAATCGGTGCTATGCGTCAAGAAAGTGATGGGTGTTTCCCTAATTAGATACCTTGCGCTTAAATTCCAGATATGTACTCTTGTCGATAATGCTGAACCGTTATCCCACAACTACTGGGCGCTATCGTTAGAGATTGCAGTGTTGACGTAACTGCTTGATAAACGGGAGTAATACTTGCACACAAAGGAGGTTGCGACTTAGGCTACCGCAGTTAGTAGTAGGCAATAATAAGGATCAAGAGCTACAAGCGATCTTGTACAGGAGAAATATTAGGCATTAGGTGGACTATTTAAGTGTTAGTCGAGGGGATTCTTGATTGGCCAACTAGCGCTACAGCACGGTGACTTGGGATCTGGCGCCGCTTTTGCGAGTTGACCAGGCTCATCTGTTCTTTGGTAGTCATGCTGATTTCAATATTGCCCTAGCAATAGGCGCCTGTGTATTAAGGATATTAGCGCTAATTGGCATGCACACATAAATTGTAATCCGCCAAGAAGCAGAGAAGACTATGGCGACCTCCATATAGAGGGCTTGGCAGGAATCGAGAGAACTGCTGTGCAGGAATGTGACACTCAGTATATTGAATGTCATTAACCAATGCTCATAGCTTCCTGCGTCCTACAACGCTCGTCTGACATGATATGTCATAGGATATGAGAATTGCTATAGATCGTCAAACTGTTGAAGCGTCAATATAGAAGAGACTATCTCAACAAAGCGCTCGTCCTTACTTGCATGCAGAATAGTTATATAGCTGAAACTATAAGGCCCCGTATGGATACGTCCTATGCAGCCTGATTGGACATGCTTAGCGAAATTGGCAACTTTGATAATGAGAATTTTGGATAAAATTCTGCAAGCCAGGATTTTTGAGGCTCTAGGTCCTTAGGGTTGTAGGAACATGTTTGGAATTACACCACCCCGTGTTTCCAAGCTGCCTTGAGAGCGTGGATCGTAGAACCGCGCGCTTTACTTGGACGAACCACGCTTCACAAGCAGCGAAAGATTGAAGCTCGATTGAGGCAAAGGATACCTTAGAGCAAGGGGTAATAAGATGAAGTTTGCTTCAGAAGGCGCGCGACAATGCTGGTGTTGTCATGAATCCATTTCTAGTAGCTCTCTCATTAAACAAAGCTGGGGAAAGGTATAAGTGTCCAGATAATTCTCAAGTGTTGGATCTCCTCCAGATCCATCCTCATGAAGAACTGACCTCCCCTTTCTCCTTTTGAGTTCATACTATTTCCTTTGTTGTGAATAGAATTGAGGCATCAGCTGGACTGATTTTAACTCTGTGCGGATCCCTTCCGAAGAGTAGACAAGGCGCCCGTCAGCAACCACAACACCCGGCTGAGATCTTACACGGGCTGTGCCTCGTTCAAGGGTTCGACCAGCGATTCCACTACCCATACTACTTTGCTATTATCTTAATTCCTTTAGATCGTGGCTGTTGTGAGTGGATCAAGTGTTGCTATTTTAGATAATGCCTGAGGGTTATCCATTGACTAACCCTTCTCAGGTTTAGACAATACCCATACATATCGATACGGTCTGGTACCGTACTATAGTATGTATGTGTAACTTACATGCTCTATCCTCCTACTAGTACTATCCATGCCTCTGACAATTATATTATAGAGATTTCCAACACCTTAACGCCTCCAACCATTGCTCACCACTTTGGACGCTGGCAGTCCAATTTGACTATTACTTAAAACCGCTTCCTCTTCTTTTGTGGCCTGGTTTTATTCTAACAGTTTCTCATCACCATCTTACTTGAGAACACCCTGCCGTATCTTTTTGATCAACTTCTATCGTCACTGTGTCTATCCGTAAAGACTTCGAACTCAGGAAGAAGTCAAAACGAGATGGGTCCATCAAAGCCGACTCTCCATCCTTTGACCACCCCCAAAACTTTGAACTTTCCTTCCGAACTCCGACCACGCACGTACTATACATGCCTCGACCCAGACAGACCAGCCAAGGAGATCAAGAAAGAGGATGAGGATGATGAGATCACCATCACTCCTCCACCAGCATACACAGAGTTCCTCAACACCTTCAGCCCCATTTTTTCCAGCCCTGCAACCTCCCGTGAGAACTTCTCCAAGTACATGCTTGACAAGCCTCGTCCTTCACCTACTTCAGCGCCCACCAGCTCTACTTCCCCCTCCTTCCCCAAAGGAAATACAAGGATTCCGCCGCCATATTCTACCTCGCGTTCTGTCGTACCGATGCCTTCCAAGAGCCCGGATCACACTCGACGTTTGCCTCTTCCCCCACCTTATGTGTGCACGTCCGTGACCGACTCCCCGCGCAGTGCCCATCCTCTTCGATCCCCCTTTACCCCATCTGATTACAGACTGCGGGCATTCGACTCCCCAGTCAGTGAAAATGGGGCATCTTTTAGTGTACGGCATGTGGTTACAACGACCATTACCCTCAAGCGGGCCCCCCAGCTCGAGCCCCCACCGCAGGGAAAACGGAGAAACATCGCACGTCGGAGCACATAGTTCCCTGAGGAAACACCATGTATAGCTCCATCAATGACGAAGGGTGATGAAAGCGAACTATTATGATTGTTTTTGTCTATTGTTATCTGTTATAGCATACATTTCTTTACCTGTATCCATGTCCCGCAAAGGTTGTTTTGTTTATTGGGCTAAATTCATTCTACGGATCTACATTGCAAGCATTATGCGATATGGATGGTTCCTTGAACTCAAGTTTTTGAGACCGATTGGAGTTTTCAAGCACTGTACGGTGGGAGTTGAGGTTTCCGGTACATCGTGTTTAACATTGGCGAAATGAATGCTATAACGTGGTTCTATTTTCTACTTCCAAGGTTCCCTGTAGTGAAGTAAGTCTATGGCATCGACCACCCCACACCGACCTCTAGACCCATCACACAGTGCCACTCACATTGACCGATAAACCAAGTTCAGAACCCACGCGCTTACTAGCCGATCTAACTAGTCGCAGTTGATCGATCTCACAAAGGGTTCAGGCTCGGACCACCTTGGCCCCCAACTTGTTTCATTAGACGCATTCCGACTCCTGTAGGATTTCCACGTGTCGCTCAGCCACCGTTCTTCAGCCAATACTACAGACTGTGGAGCCAACAAAACCAACGGGAAATGCTCTGCTGAAGTCAAATGAGCAAGGTTTGAAGCCACGATCGCTTAGATGACGTTGTTGAATCTGCTTGCTATTTGGGCTCAGTTACTCTATCCCGGTTCTTGCATCCTTATATCGGTTATTGGTTGGACAGCGGACTGTTGGTCGAGGAGATCGGTGAGAGGCGGTATGCTGCTCAATGTTGTTTTTCTATTCCTACACGTCTTACCGGCGTTGTTGTGGATACAGTCCTATCAGAGGGGCACAGGAATGAGCGAATAACAAGAACAAGCCTACTAAATGAGTCAGAAATGTGCAGGTCCCTCGTTGCTATATATCTCTTCCGCCTTCCAGATACTTTAGCTCTCTCCCAGTGTGCCTCCTAGAGCCCAACATCCAGACCAAGGACCCATTCTAGGCCATACATGGCCAACTATCATTGCAGGATCACCTACGTGTTACACAAAATCTCAAAATAGATACGGAGCAAGCGCCAGGTTTCATCTTTATTCCAATTACGGCACTGGCTTCTATTTTTGGGGCATGGCTACAGTGGGATTGGGATATTTTTAGTTCAGCCAGAGAGGCATGTGGACTCCGTTTGCCTCAAGGTGTCCTTAACAGTCTTTTAGGGCCCATTTCTACCTGAGCCGTTGTTGATGAGACCTTCTGAGAAGATTACGGCTACCCAGCCTACTCCAATGACCTTTCATAAGGGCTAAAGAAAAACCAACAGAATTGCATTGAACAAACATCAACAACGCATAATCATGAAACTATCGTTAAAGACAGACCGTGACAGATGTAATGAGCGGATAGGATGGTATCAAAAGAATAGAATATACGGTTAAATGATGGTAAGAAGTGAAGAAAGAAGAAATACTGCAATAACAGCAGGAAAACCGAAACTGCGCGTCAAGTCAACGACATCAGGGAGTGACTGAATAAGAGACGATAGGCAACTGAAAATAATAACCAGGAAAGAAAGAAAAGAGAAGAGCAGAGAAGAGAAGAGAAAAGAGAAACAGGACGACAACCGGAATAAAATGGGGAGTTGAACGAAAGACTGAAATGAAAACAGGAGAAAGCTCACTATACAATTGCTGGATTTAAGTCACGAATACCCATCAAGTCATCGCTGCCATATCTGTCGTCAACCATGTGCTCTGTGATGAATATGGATCCCATAGGGATGCCACATTGCTAATTATGAAAGTATTCTCGCTAGGTTGATATCGATTTTCCAGATGTTGTGTGCGCTCGTGAGAAGACTATCACATCAACAAGAAGTTCCATTTGTTGCGTTTCATGACGTCTCGCCAATGGACCTGTCGTGTCCTGGGAATCTCGGGAACCTCAGGTTGGTTAAGTTGTTCAGTCCCTTGTGAAGGATCTTCCAGCTGCCAAGTGATGATAAGGCCACTAGTATTGATTGGAAAGTTAGGGTCCTCTGCAGCGTCGTGGGAATCATCTTCATCTCCAGTTGGTGGCACCGGACCTCCGGATTCTCGCCAGACTTCTTTCAAAACACGATACATCTTGCCGAAACTACCAAGCTTTCCTAAATACCCGAGGGCAACAATTCTCTCGGTTAATACTTTTCGGAAGTTACTGGACGGCGATGCAAATGCTCCTGCAATAAACAATGGCCAGACGAGGCAGCGATCAAAGCCACTGGAACCTGCGGGGATGTACTTGAGAATTTCGATCATGGTTGCCAACCAGGTGGTAATGGCAGGGTCGTTATAATCGACAGATGGAAGCAGGCTATAAAGATATAGGCGAGCCGCGATACGGTACAAGGCGGTGATGATCTTGGTCAACTTTTCTGGAACGACGGCTCCGCTAGAGGTAAAAGGTACCTCGAGTCTTGGATCAGCTGGCTCCGTCCAGTCAAGCTGTCCTGTCAACGCTGAGACGTGGCTTAGTATAGCCATATCATCTACGAGACCCTCTAGTCTCAATGACTCTAGACATGTGATTTCCGAAATCAGGTACATGACACGGTCATCACAGCCCATCAGCTGCTGTAGGCCAGATGTATGGCCACTGAGGTGCTTCGTCCGGTATGTGTGAGAGAAGTGCGGCGTCGCCCCCGCCATGGTAGCTGCTATGATATCGATCCATGCGACGAGAGTGATGTTGAACTGGCTGGGTGCATAGTTGAGTTTCTTCACTAGGTGGGCAACTCCCTGGAAGTGGGAAGTCCATGGCACATCGGGGAGATAATCATCTGGTTCGCCAAGGGAGCAGTGGAAGAGTATCAGGGCAAGTGTGGCATCGATAACCTGCATATAACCACTCTTTTTGCTCAGGAGACGACAAAGTTGAGACATTGCGTCATAGCGATGCTGCATAATGTCATGATCCATCTGGTCCTCCATACCCAGGCTACTCTTCAGGTGGATTGCGCCTACACTGAGGCAGCAATGAAAATATGCGCGATTGTTCTGCATAAGGCCGAAAACCTCCCTGATCCGAGCAGGACCAGCCTGGTGAACATCCACTATGGGGAAAATCAACAGCATGAAATTGTCAAGAAAGTGTTCAAGAAGGTGACGGTCCTTTTCATCTACAGGCATCATTGTCTGCAAGCATGTGGAGAGAGACTTGTTTGGGTATGCAAAGCCTCCTTGAGGATTAATCGGATTGAAGGGCTGCATTGGGCCATAGTTGTTCGCGAAGAATTCGTTACTGGCTAATGGCGGAGTTGGTATCGCTGGATTTGTGGTGCTGAAGCCCGACAATGCTAGGTTAGGCTGCAGAGGATTGTTGTTTAAGAACATCTGTTGGTCAGACCCGATATTGAGATCAAACGAAATGATAGGCGCCGCAACTGCTGGTGGCTCTGGTTTCGGCTCTATTGGAAGCCCGATAAGGGCCCCTGGAATGGCTGCTGAACCCTGATATGGTCCCTGTGCTGGTGTCGCGAAAGGATTTGGTTCTGGAAGCATTGCGCGACTGATGTCAAACCCAGATGTAGATGGGCTTTCTTCGCATAGAGCCTTGATCTTATCCATATACTCTGGAAACATGAACTTGTTGGAAAATGCTGAAACTGGAGTCTCTGTGGCTTATGACATACCTTGCAAGCTACTATTCTTCTCCATAACCTTCGTCTGGCGGATCCGACCTTTAATCCTTTCCCTTTGACCGCGCCGTTGCTCCATTGTGGCCCACCACTGAGGTGGTCTGTACACGCATTTAAGAGCATGAGTTGAACAATTTTTGCAAAATGGTCGGGTTTCATCGCACTTCTTCCTTCTCAACCGACAGGTAAAGCAACCTATACATACGCATGGTTAGCAGGGCTCAGCCCAAGAGACAGTTGCGACTGGAGCAGCATCGACATGGGTAATATGAAGATCCTACCTGATCGTGATCTACGGTAGGCCTTCGGTCCAGATCTACCGATGGGCTCATCAGCTTCGGAGAAGTCTGATGCAGCCCTATTCCTTCGAGCCTTGGACCGCGCTGAACTCGACATATTTGAGGTGCTGGCCAAGAAGCTTGGGCAGAACGGCTAACAGAGAGCACAGTTGACGTTATAGTTGGCAAGGACGGGAAGGTGTGAAGTTGTTGGAGATAGCTATACAGTCCACAGCTATCTTGATTGACTGTTTTGAGGAGCAGTAGAGTTTCAGAGTGATGACCTTTGCTGTTGACTGAAGCGAAGATGGTCAGAGAACAAAGGGTCAGGTTGGGGCAGGATAGGCAGGGCTTTTATGAAGTCATCCGGCCCTGGTATCCTGAGATATGTTGGATCCATCGACTAATTCTCAAACAAGGTGTATACCCCTCGTGCTTCTATTTTTTCCAACCTAGGGGTTAGACGCACGAGGATATTGTTTCAAGTTTTACCAGAACACTCAAATCTCGAGTGGAGATTGACGCCGAGCAACAAGGGGATTTTGGCATGGCGCTCTCGGATAGGCTGAGGACCCTCAGTTGGGATGTCTGGTGGTGGTTAGAGCCGTTGGTCAACATGGTTCCTGGAGGTGTAAGGTTGATCATCCACGCCGCCATGTTAGCCGCGGACTGGAGCAGATGGGTACAAGGATCACGCTGGGCGGATGGCTAATGTTCCTGTCAGGGTCTAAAGGTTGTCTAATCTAAGGGTGGTTGCCAAGGATCCTGATTGGTGGTTTAATAACAGTTACCCTAGATTTGGGACCTTCGAACACTCTTGACTCCCGCAACGCATAGAGCTCCAAATTTCGTCGCTGAACTTGGAATTTGACGCTAGTAATACGGCAAAGCTGCATCTTATACTCTCATTCTTTTCCAGGAATTTTTCCCATTTTTTTACGAATTTCCGCGAGTGAAAAAGATGTATATTGACCACTTTCCCTTTAGTCGCCATTGAAATTTGGGTTGAGATAAAGAGCAAAGATAATCTGACAGTTGACCCAATGGTCCAATGACGACGACCGGAACGCCGAAGTGAGACTCGGCCCGTGCAGCGGCGGGGCGGATCGGGGACGCTTGGACGTGATAACGTGCATAGGGCAAGCCTTAATTAGCAACATTTTTACCGCCAATACTGCAGGATATGGCAATTATCGGCGTCTAATCATACCTGTTCATTCGCCCACACAAGATTAAGCATGTTTATATTTAGCTAAATGACTACTTTAGCGTCATTATCCTATTAATAACTTCTGAAGTGGTCAGAATTAGCAACATTACGCTACCTGGATGCGGGGTACAACTCCCAGGGTTGCATAGCTCGTTGCCGCCGACAATATTCAATGCAAACCAATGGTTTAGCCGGGAAATACTCCGCGCAGGTTAAAAGAACCTGGAAACTGAATTAGGATTAATTTCGCCATTCTTTATCCAGTTGGAAGCTAACTTAGAAAGATAGATATGCTGAATATAGACGAACAGGCATTCTATCATGCTTGACTCTGTCGCCCTAACTGTGGTATCACCAACGTCGCTAAGATCGGACTGCGGCATGTTTAATTCTAAAAAAAGTAGTTCCCCATGGTTCTATATTCAGAATCTCAGATAGAGTGCATTGTCGATTACTGTTCTTTTAATAGATTATCCCGATGATGCAGTCGGCAGTCCTCAGAGCCTAGTCATACACATCCTTTGTACATTGCACCTACACCAAGTTACAGACCGTCGTCTTAATTTAGTATACCCCAAATGCAGTTTTAAACCGTCAAACTGCGCAACAGCGAAACGCTGAAACATCACATGGTGGGCTCTGCAACTGACTTTATTGTTGTTGTTGTTGTTGTTGTTGTTGTTGTTGTTGTTGTTGTTGTTGTTGTTGTTGTTGTTGCTGCTGCTGCTTCCATGCCATCGAGATACAGGACTACGCCGCATCGCTCCATGAAGACCCAAAAAAGCACTTGAACTTCATTGCGATATGCATAAGAATTTTCTTGCTCTTAGTCGTCAATTCTGTAGAAATTAATGTCCCAACCAATAAGATCGCAGGTTACCTATGGTTGACCTGTGATGAGAGCTATCGTCCGAGACTAAGTCAAGTAGCGCAATGTGATAGTCACTATCACACCGTTGGACCCCTCTTGCATCACCTGACCTCACCGTCCCCTCATTCTATAATACTATCTGCCAGTTTCTTTGGAACTGAACTATGCCAAAGGGTTCGTTCGCTTAAACGTTGTATGATCTTTCTCAGGTACACACACACACACACACACACACACACACACACACACACATCTATCCAATTCGTAGTTAGTATAGTAATTCATGATGCAAATTCTAGAGAAGGGTTACTGCCACTGTAAAACGTATGGTATCTTCAGCGCGCTACAATGAACCCACCCAGACCAAAAACAGTATGGATGACTTGATGTACAGTGTTTAATTGCTATTTAATTTCTCTCGTGACAAAAACAGCAAAATCTGCGAGAGTAGAATGCGGCAGTCTGACCCAACGGCCAACGATAGGTACATCAATTCATGCAATGCAGCCTATTCACATGTCACTGTACAGTAGCTCCACACTGCTGCAAGAGCGAGATGAAGGAATCAAAAGGATCCGAGATTTAACTCCAAGGTGATAAACCCGGTTATTTTCAACGATCAAAAGCAATTAACGAGAGTACTATTTGCTGTGCCGTAGAAGACTGGAAAGTAGACGCTGAAAGGCAGGAAGAAGTAAAAACGAAGGCAAACAAGGGAAAGGATGAAGAGTTGGAAGATGTAGTCAAAGACAATAGTCGAATGAGCTTAAGCTACCAACCAATCGCAAGGCTGTTGGGGAGAGAGGCACCGTCGTTGCCGCAGTGAATTCCGCTCCGCGAAAGGGTGGGATCACTGGTCTATATAGAAGTGACCTGGAAACGCCAGAAAATGTTGCTCCCGGTTATGTGTGGTGGATCGTGAATGCAGAGAAAACAAGTGATATCGACTTGGTTGGTCAGGACGTTCTCAACGGATCGACGCCTGATATTATAAAAATGCAGCGAATAGCATTCGATCAGGAGAGGCAAGATGGAATATGACTCGTAATAAATTCAAAGGAATCCATGCTCCGCACCGTAGCCGAGAGCTCCCAGAAGAGGGATTGGTTGACTGATGAAGAAAGCGAAACGAGGAGAGTCGCCCGGGCGGTTATACGTTGCGTTTAATTGCTCAAGCAGAGGAATATTTAGAACGGTTGAAGGAACCCCAGCGCTAAAGCACTCGGCCAGTCACGGGCTTCCATGGCGGTTGGCCTCCACCAGCCCGGCGCGTAGAGAAACCACAAACCTTCTCCCGTCGACCTCTCCCAGCCCTCCATGGGCGATTTCGAATTTCTCCATCCACGGAGACTTTCCCTCGGCGGCAACTTATTGGCCAGGGACAATGTCGTTCTCTGTGGTTGGGTTCTAACCTACTGCAAGTTGGTCACTCTAATCACCTCCCATTCAGGTTTCTCTGCGCTTCCCAGCCACTTGCTCGGACTACTTTGTGAGGGACGATGCCACTACGTTTCACTATCCCTGCATGTCACGGACTTAGTTTTCCATGCGATAGACAGTGATTCGATCCTTCAGAGTCTTGTTGCCATACTACCGTTTCACCGCCCCCCTACATGACTCCGTCGGTCAGACGCTTCTTCGCTACCCCATATACTTATACTTGGAGCGGCCCAGCTTCTCCGATTTTCTTCTCCTCTTTCTGCCCTTTCCTCGTCACGTTTCGTGTGTCACTGTATGATAACTGGCCACCTTCATTTGCTCTCTTTTCTTCTTCTTCAATTGTTATGAGGTGCTACTTAGTCTAGCAGAGTTATTGACTAACTCGCAAATTGATTGTTGCATCGAACAAACTCCGCCTTAAAAACTTGTACCAGCTGACATAGATATTATGGTAGGAATAACAGCTTCTACTGGTTGCCCAGTATCGTTCTAACCTTAGCTCGGTATAGGAGTCGCTACGTAATCGACGTAAGGCAGCGCCTGCGTCTTTGGACGTGAAGAATACTGCACAATTCTATCCAGCATGGACTGTCGTGAAAAAGCGTCAATCGGAGTCGACAGACTTTGCCGACACTGATTTTGAATATGGCTCCTCAGACGAGGAGTCTCCGCGGATGAGTCTGGGCTCAGTAGGTTCACCTCTCCATTTTCAACCAGATTCGGATCGTTGATCACCTTGCTAGTTTGGTCGCGATAGTAGATCTTCCCTTTCCACGCCAGAGCTACCTACGCCTGACCAGGCCCCAACGGAGCCTTTTAGCTTCCAGCTTGACAAAAGGATCAAGGGACCTTCTGGACCGCATCTCTTCAGATCCTCTATTGCTTCTTATGGGTCTGCGCCATCGACTGCCGAAATTGACGTCTACTTTGAAAGATCACCTGTTCAGTCTCAACTCGCCCAGGCCCCATATTCTGGGACACAGTTTTCTGAAACTCCAGCTACTCAGTCCCAGTTCGCCCTTACTGCAACACCTAGCGCACGATCTCAGTTCTCAGAGGCGTCAAGTGCTCGGTCGCAATTCTCAGAGACCCAAAGTTCTAGATTCCAGTATTCTGAACCCCCCAGTGGTCGGTCCCAGCTCTCCGTATCTGAGAGCTTAACCTCGAGGGCTCAGTTTTCCGAGGCCCAAAGCTCGAGATTGCAGTACTCTGAACCTCCGAGTGCTCGATCTCAGCTCTCCGTTCCCGAGAGCTCGAATCCCAGAACTCAATTCTCCGAGACCCAAAGTTTGAGGTTTCAATACTCCGAACCTCCAAGTGCTCAAACCTATTTTTCTGGGACGTCAAGTACTCGGCCTAATATCTCCATTGCTGAGACCCCGAACTCAAGAACGCAGTTCTCTGAGCCTCCAACCGCACGATCATTCTACTCAGAGACGTCGAGTACTCGGCCCCAATTCTCTGTCGCCGAGACTCCAAATTCGAGGATGCAATTTTCTGAGCCTCCAAGTGCTCGATCCCAATTCTCAGAGACGAAGAGTACTCGCTCCCAGGTTTCTTCGGAAAATCCTTACTCCAGAACCCATTTTACTGAGACCCCAAGCTCGAAGTCCCAGTTCTCTGCGGGCGAGGTTTCAATGGATAGGTACCAATTCTCTCCTTGCACCCCCAAGGCCTTCACAACCGTGCACCCAGACGTTTCGCAGGTGGAGGAGAGCGAAATCCGAGGCTGGATACCCAGCCAGGTAGCACACTGGATGCATATCGCCGGATATGATGACTACGTTATTGAAAAGTTCATGGTCAACGATATCACCGGCTCTGTTCTGCTAAGTCTCCAAATCGATGATCTCAAGGAACTCGGAATCAAGTCATTTGGCAAGCGCCATCAGTTAATGTCCTCGATTGACCATTTACGCTCGACTATGCGGAAAACACCAGATCTCGAACCACCTGTCAATCACAGGCGCTCATATGCAATGTCCGTATCTCCAACGGGAGAAGTACTTTCCAGGGAAGTCATTGGCCCGGGTAGTGGCCGGCAGGTTGTAGCAGGAGAAGCTGTCTCTATTGTCGGCATTGAGCAGGTTCTTCCTAAGCCTCATAACTGCTCCAAGGGAGAAAACTGTCCCAAGTATAGAAGGCGCCAGCGCCAGCTGGAGAAGCTCGCTGCGGAATTCCCTGACGCTGTTCTCTTGCCAGGAGGTTCAATGCTCACAGGAAATCCTGGAAACCCAGACACGGCAAAGAACCTCCTACGTCCTACATCCGATGCTGGGCCCTCGATTGTCGCTTCGTCAGACATCTTTGGGCCAGCCCAAGAAACTCCCAGACTCTGTGAAGAAGCGCTGAACGAGGTTCAGAAACTCGATCCACAGGAAAGCATTAGACAATTTCTCAATTACCAGCACGTGGAACCATGTGACCCTGAGTCAGAGCCAGCCCCAGCTGCCGGACAGCCCGCAGAACCCGCCCCTGCGCTGACTCCTCCAGCTTCTCACACAAACAACATGGCTGCAAACCTTCGTAGCCTACCCAAGTTGAAGATTCCTACAGACTATGACTCCGATGACCTTACAACGGCTGTTACAACCCAGCGAACGATCACTCCGTCCGTGGCAACCCAGGCGTATGGTTCTCCGACTGTAATCCAACAGTACGGTCCGTTCAGTTCTATGAGAACTATGGACCATTACCGCCAAGGCACGCCTTTTTCCGAGATGGATGCCCCGATCACCGCAATCCCTAATGATCCTGTTGGTCGTGATGTCTCGCAGTCTGTTCCGCCAGATATGCGCTATGGTAACCTCATGCAACTCCGCCATCAAAGACTTGCGCCACGTAGCGCCTTCTTACGCCCTCAACCTAGCCCACCGCAGCATCGTGCTCAGGGACGACCACTTACTCCTATCGATGATCCAGAGGACTTGAGGAAGAGAAGCCCGCGTATAGGATTCCACAAACCCAGCTCCTCAGACACATCTCTCTCTTCGGACCCAGATGTCACTAAAAGTGGATATATGAAAAAACGGAAACAGGCTCGCTTCCTTCGCCACGAATGGCAAGATGCGCACTTTACCTTGCGTGGAACCAATTTGGCTATGCACAAAGATGAGCTTGCTGCCATTCGCAACTCCAAAGCTCTGGATTCAATCGACGTCGATGATTATGCGGTCGCTTGCTCATCACTGGCAACTAGCTCTAAACTGACCGCCGCATTCAAACGGTCGGTCCTACGCAGTGGGAACAATATCAGCAAAGATGATACAGCGTTCGCCTTTTCCCTGATCCCTTCGACAAGGGAAAATGAGAAGAAGGCATTGTTTGGGAACAGTAATGTTAAGGGTCATCATTTTGCGGTCAAGACTCGAGACGAACGGATTGACTGGATGCGAGAGCTGATGCTTGCCAAGGCCCTCAAGAAGGGTAAAGAAGGCGGTGCCTCGATGCAAGTAAATGGCAATTTCATCTAGACTGCCGTTTTCTACACTACACCTGGCTTTTGATCATTTCCCTTCTCCATTCAGATCTCGGACCCTCTTCAGATTGCATGACAGGCCCCATCAAATTGTCCTACCTGTATTTCTAAACCCATATCGCATATGTGGCTTTGAAGATTTTCACTCACTGCATCACGATGTTTTGATATCGCATTCCGTTTGGGATTTCCTTTGTTACGACCGCATGAACAGGAAAAAGACGCATCGTCGCAGGACGACCAAAGCCATATACCCCAAATACCCCGACTTTAGTTGTTTTTGCTTGTTGTGCTCCATTTCTCGGCTTTATGTATATACAACACCAGTGGGACTCTGTGCATCAATTTGAAACTTTAACGAGATCCTGTGAGTACTATCCCCTGAATGACGAAGCGTTATCCATAATAGAATATGTTAGGAATGTGCCATTACGCTACGCTAGGAAGGTGGAGCCCTGGGATTTGATTAGACACTTGATGTTTCAAAGTGATATAGTAGTAATGTGGCAAGGAACATTTGGAGTTAATTAGTGGCCTATTTTCTACTCCGAATTTAATAGTTTTGACATAAATAAATGCCAAGAAATAACTAGTGGTTTTGTCGAGTCTGACCGCCGCCCCTCGACAGTTTGTCCATAGCACTGTACATACATTTTCTGTATGTCCTAGACATCGCATGCGGTCCGGTGGTCTCCACCCCAATTTTGGTGGTCATCATTGCACCAATACGTGTCAATTATGAATTACCAAGGTATTGCGCTGTATGATTTGGACATTTGGTACGATGGCGTCACCCAGTGTTGATGTGACATTGAACGCAAGACATTCGTCACTCACTAAAACCACACGCCCACGAAGGGCTGTTCGGCCATGTGACTTGTGCCGTATACGCAAGTCACGATGTGTGATTTCCCCTGGGTATTCTTGCTGTACGGTTTGTCAATCCCGCCAAACACCATGTACCTTTGATCGAAACCCGCCACCTCGGCCTTCGCGTTTGCAGCCAGGCAAGAGCCGCGACCTTCATCAGCAGTCAACTGAAATAGCGGCACGCTCCAGGAAGGTGCATCGCAACTTAGCTCCAAATGTGAGAGAAGGGCAAGGAGCCTTGACTCAGCCAAAGATGAACCATGTCAGGAGCGCGGTTGATCAGTCTCCCACATCTTCGTTCGAATCAAGTTACCAGAGCCCCCTACCACCGGGAGCTATGACAGGAGAGCGTGATGTTGAAGTACAGAGTTATCAGGATATACTTTCCGCGCATGCTTCACGAAGGGATAGGGAAGATAAAGATGGCTCGTTGGGGTTGGCCAAATCGAATTTTGCCGAATTGTACGGGCTTACGAGTGACATGGAGCCTATCCTTATGGTAAGGACAGTCCAATTGCTTAAGAAATAATTTCCTGACAACGCCTTAGCGGCATCGTCCATATGATCCTCAGTCACATGAGTTCCGTCTTGAGACTCATAGTATTCGGCGTGTGCTGCACGAAGATATGGGTATGCAATATCCAGTTACATTTCATGTTGTAAGGGACGAAAAGGCAATTGGCTACCAAAATTATATTGAACAAGATGCAATTGAGCGTTGTGTTGTGCCATACGGCCCCAGCCTAATCAATCTCTTTTGGAGAATAGTTCACCCGTGTTATCCTATTCTAAACAAAGGCAAGTTCATAGAGCGATATACGACATCTTATCGTGAGATAGAAGCACCCATATTAGGAGCAGTGTATCTCATTTCCTTGAACTGGTGGACCTACGATCGAGAGCTCAGCAACAAATCAGCGCCGAAAGAAGTATTGTTAAGAGAACGAGTTATTGAAGCAATTCAGAATAGCTACCACAGACCTAAGCTATCGTCAGTTGCGGCTATGTTACTGTTGGTGCAATGCAAGCCAGAGGATGCCTTGAATCCGGACCACACGTGGACCTGGGGATATACAAGTCAAGCACTTGCAGTTGGTGAAGCATTAGGACTCCATTTGGATGCCAGTTCTTGGGACGTTCCTGATTGGGAGCGCGGGCTACGTAAGAGGCTCTCTTGGGCACTTTATATGCAAGACAAATGGACTTCCTTGATGCATGGGCGACCCAGTCATATTCACGATGACAACTGGGGAGTCGAAGACATCGAGGACAGTGATTTCTATGAACCTGATGAGAATAAGGACTCAAGAAATGACGACGTTCCCATGAACGATATTCAGGCGGGGAGAAGAGGATTTTTGGAGATGGTCATATTGTCTAAAATTCTCAGTACGATATTAACAGACTTCTTTTCGCTGCGTGCTAGCAAATCTCAAGACACTGTTGAGCTTTATCAACGAGCATTTCCTGTCATAGAGAAGCTGCAAATCTGGTACGAGAATGTTCCACATTCACTGCGCATGGATAGGCAGGTTCCCCGGCGACTTTGTGCAAATGGTATGTCGTACTGCTCTTATATAATGCTTCAGAATTAACGAAAACAAGGTTTCCTTCATCTGTCCTATCACGGTCTAGTCTTAACACTTATGCGGAGAATTATTAGATCTACTGCACTTGCTCCACTTTGCTCACATGTTGCTGTTCTCAACGATACTCGTAAGCTTGCTAGTGGCTCGGCCGAAGCTGCGATGGCTTTCGTCCGTACACTGCGTCCGGATCATTTGGAAGCCTTCTGGTTTTTCTGTAAGTAGTATCATATATCTGGTGGTTGCGTCTATTAAATCCCCTTTTCACTAACAATTTCTTCACGCCCAGCATCAGGGTTTAATTTCTCCTTGATCGGGTCTTTCGTCACCTTGCTTCTAGTAACGTCTCATTCGGAAGCTGAAAAAGCTCACTGGAGGGAGCGCCTGAACGATTATCTATGGAACCTCCGCATCATGGGGAAGGGAAACGAGCCAATGCGTTATGCAGTCAACCGTCTCGAAGGAGCAATACTTCGAGGAATGGAGCATGCTTTGGCCGTGAAAATTGCACCAGCGCCTTCGGAACATATACCAAATGAACAGAACATATTTCTCACAACACCATTTCCCCAGCATTCACTACAGTTTCCATCCCCCAACCATCAGATCTGCGGCATGGACATGAGCATTCATCCAGCCATATCATCTACACCTTCCCACGCTCCAGGATATTGGCTCACACCTTTCATCAGCGAAGATATATCAAATCTGAACCTAAAGCACTTTGACTGGCTCACAGAAAGTTAATGCGAGCCAGATGATAATAGGCTTTTGTTTTCACTCTTCTCTTTTCCTTTCATGCAGATACCCCTGCAGTTACTTACCACAATTGCCTCGGATTAGCTAATGCTATGCCTTATATGTAGGTACATTACTTCATATTAAGCTTGATCTCAGCACAGGTGCTATGGATATACTTTCTTTCCTTTCTGCTCTCTCCTTTTCTGTTCTTTTTATCTCTTATGCTATGTACATTCACCGTTCTTCACAGTACTTGGCAGGCAAGGAGCATTACCCGGTGACTTAATAAGCGGATTCAGTTCGACAGGAATCTACTAACTATGGAGAAAAATGAACTGAAAGTGACCTCTCCATCATCCACGAATAGCCCATATCTCAGGGTTCCCCCTTTATCGTCGTAATGTTTTGGTTGAAAACGATAACTAATCGCCCTCCCGCCCACAAAAACTTCCAGGGCATCTCCTATCATAAGGACTTTTACGGGTTCATCTTCCCCAATTGAAACGTTATCGTGCCGCACTAGTTCATGGCCATCAACTTCTCGGGGGAGGTACAATTTGTACTGGTCGGCCCAAAAGTCATCGAGGGAAGGAGGGCACAGCGATAATGAGATAGAGAAGAGAGGTTTTCCTGATTCAGTTTGCGTGGGAGTAAAACGCAGCCAATATCCGGCAAGATCTGAATCTGCGTAAAATAGGACACCAAATGATGCTGCATCACTCGAGGAGAACGTGAAAGACATAAAGGTCGACAAGGGCGAATTGGCACCGGAATCAGCTGATGCTGGATAGAGAAAATGCTTCTTGACTGCACCATGAGAGTTTAATGTGACAGATGAACGCTGGAAAATAGGTTCCGAGCAAAAGTACTCTGACAGGATCTCCTTGATTGGCTCAATTCTAAGAGATCCATCAGGTGCAGCAGATACCTGTCGCGGGTAGGCCATGTCTCCTCCCCACATCCATTTCTTGTCTGCCTCGCAGCGATCGGCTATCCAGCCGAAATACACGCGCTTTGATGGATCCCTAGCCTTGGGGCAGGACTTTGCTGCGTACCATCTTCTCCCATCCCAACGCCCGGCAGAGCCATCCTTGGGCTTCCGGAAGGGACCACGCGGTGTATCAGACACTCGATATACCGTACCGGCATGAGGAGAAGCGAATCGTGAGTAAACGAGGTACCATTTACCATTGGGGAGTGTGAAGAGCTCTGGACATTCAGGGCAGAACATGTCATTTGGAGCAAAGAAAGGTTCTGGTTCCAAGTGCCAAGTATTCAAGTCCGTCGATATCAACAGTGCAAGGCATCCTCTGGTCCAATGCGGGCCTTTGGACAGGCGTGTAGCCACCAGCATCCAATACTGCCGCTCTTCCTCATTGAAAAGCACATATGGATCACGGAAGTCAATATCCTCGAATGACGTGAGATTTGCAACTGTCTCAGAGCTTATGGAGATCGGCTCTGGATATTTCCCGAATGATGACCCTTCCATATCGGAGGACGCCGCATGAATGATTACTTGTTTGCCATCCTGGGACAGATTATATCCCGTATAGAAGATGTGCATGTTTCCGTCGGGTCCAATAACTGCCGAGCCAGTCCATGCACCATCAGAGTCATAATTTGCTGGCTTCTCATCTGGAACAATGGCTGGGGAGCTATCTCTAGTCCATTGAATCAAATCGTTGGAGCGAAGATGCGACCAATACGAACGAAGTCTCTCAGGATGATGAACAGTATGAGGTGGTGTAGTCAGATGAAAAAGATGGTAAGTACCATTGACAAGGATTGGAATCGCATCGGCAGATCCCTGGTTAGGAGAAGGCCGTCTGAAGAATGACGGCGATACTGCCGTGAGCGACACCATGTTGACGAGTCCTGCAGGGGTGAACTGGCTGAATTGCTTGCAGAATTTTTGTGGCCTTGAGTTTTGAGACATTGAATGTAGGGTGCACCACCTCTTAAATCATTCGAAAGACCCCGGTATCTCCTGCAGATGCAACCTGCGACTTGAATCACACCGTCGTCTATATAGTACTTCGCGCTTGCCGCCGGGCTCGGCCACTTTCCGGCACGAAGCTCTTAAGAAGATGCCGCCTTGGCATTCGTACAGCCAATCGGCATCGTCCATTTGATCTCCTTGTGCCGGTGATGTCTATCGCTGTGCCCCGTGGGGAGAGAACGTTAAATGTGGCTCTCGGAGAAATCCTAGAGTTCGATCACAACAGTCGTTTTCCGGTTTCAAGTGATGTGGAGTACCCCCCAATCCTTACAGAAATCTATCGGGTGCCCCATGGCCAGAACTCGGTTCTGTCATCGTGAGCAATCCTGAAAAAGCATCTCATGCGTGCCGTCGGCATCTTGTCTCGATCTAACCGTTAAGCTGCAGCTTTAGTCCGACATACACTAACATGAGTTACATAGTAGTATTTAAAAAGTGGAACCCCACTAATCTTCAAATTTTTTTCTTTATCCTACAGGTTGTTTTTTCTTCTGAGAACTTGTCTCTAGGCTCACTGTTCTTGTCTGAAGACAGCTTACAGTCATGGCTATCATCAAAAACTTTTATGCCTGGCTTTTCTGTGCCTTTGCCGCATTGGGCGCATGCCTTTATGGCTACGATGGTGTATACTTTACAGGAGTATCTGCCATGGACGCTTCGTCCAGCACTTCGGCGAGAGGCAGTCTGATGGGTCATACGCCATTCCAGCCTCAAGCCTTTCACTAATGACCTCAGTCATCAACATTGGAGAGCTTGTGGGCTCGCTGACGGCAGCGCCGCTCAATGACCTTGCAGGCCGCAAAGGGGTGTTCTTTATTGCGTCGATTATGGTTGTGGTCGGTGTGGTCTTACAATTGGCAACAGATCACAAACACTCCATGATAATCGCAGGTAGAATCTTGCTAGGCTATGGTGTAGGGAACTTCTCGGCGACATCCCCTCTGTACATTGGAGTAAGCTCAAATTTTCATGCTTGAGACAAAAATACTTTTGCTAATGATCATCTTAGGAGATCGCTCCTACTCGAATTCGTGGCCCTTTACTCATGTGCTGGCAACTAGTCCTGTCAATCTCCCAAATTATTGCCGCTGCTATTAATCGTGGTACACAAGGCATAGGCAGCACTGTGGCCTATCGTGTCCCCATGGGCGTACAGCTTGTGTTCCCGCTGCTCGTTCTAGCTTTCCTTTGGTGGGTACCAGAGTCCCCGCGCTGGTTACTCCGCAAGAATAAAGTAGACGCGGCCAGGAAATCATTGCAGAGCGTCAACCGGGACGACAAGTCGTACATTGCCGATGACGACCTAGCTATTTTACAACGGGACATAGACAATGAAAAGCAACTTGCGGAAGTCTCGTCCTGGTTGGACCTAATTCTAGACCCCATCGAGCGACGCAAGACCATTTATTCTGCAGGTGCACTCGTCGCACAGCAGGTCAATGGTATCCAATGGTTCTATTACTTTGGCACTGTCTTCTCAAAGGCAATCGGACTCTCCGATCCGTTCCTTATGACCTTGATCGTTTTCATCATCCAAGTCGTCGTTGTGTTGTGTGCGGTGTTCTGCGCCAACAAACTACCCAGACGGCCACTTCTACTCATCACCACGGGCATTATGGGCGTTTCTATTTTCGTAGTGGGATGCCTGGGCATCCCAGGCGGAGAAGTGTCTCACACATTCGGCAAGGTGATCATCAGCTTCGTCATCATTGAAATCACAGCATTCAATTTCGCCTGGGGGCCTCTAGGCTGGACAATCGTAGGCGTCCACATGTAACTCCAGCGATATAGATCAGAATTTACTAACATCAGCAGGCCTCCGAAATGGCCGTTGGCCGCAACAGAAACAAAATCTACGCTGTCGCGGTAGCCTGCTTCTGGGTAAGAATTTCGACGAACACACCCCTCAAGTACTACTCTAGTCGACACCACTAACAAAACTCAACTGCAGATAACTGTCTGGGCAATCGTCTTCACCCTCCCTTACCTATACTATTCAGCCAATCTCGGCCCCAAAACCGGCTTCGTATACACCGGACTCTGTGTTATCACCTTCGTATATGTTTATTTCTGCGTCGGCGAGGTCACCGGTCGCTCGATGGAGGAGATTAACTGGTTCTTTATCAATGGGATCCCGGCGCGCAAATGGCGTGATCAGCCTTTTCCTGTTGTCGGGGAGACGCCATCTGAGAAGAGTCTAGAAGTGAACCAGAAGAACGGTGTGAATATACGGGTTGAAGGCCCATGACTGCATTTTACAAGGTTCTGGTGTATAGTATGGACGACATAACCTCGGCTAGTATAATGGGCATGTAGTAATTGGAAACAATATCATGGTATTCAAATCATTCGCTCCTCGAAAACGAAACGCTACTAGATCACAGCTCATAACCGATACCCATCACGGGGATCTAGGACATACATAGAGAACAATCACCCCATCATCCGCACAACGACATACAACCAACCATCTCCGTACGCCGAACTCCTGACCAGCTCCTCGACTGGTGCTGACATAGGCACAGCGGCACCATGAAGCACGGGCTTCGCTAGCACAGGCGTCCTTCGACTGGGAAAAAGATTCGGTAGTAACGAATGCAAGGCCGTCCCTATCGTCTGCGTCTGCGGTGTGATACTACTTCGTGAAAGGGCCAATTGGCTAGCCGCCACGCTGGAGGGAGGGATCGACGGTGGGACCGGGGACTGGACTACCTTGAGAGAAGGCGAGCCAGAGTCAGGCGGGAGGGGGAGGAATATCCGAATTGGGATGTTACGGAAAGGCTGATTGGGAGGAGGGAGGAGGATATTGGAAATTCGTTGGAAAGAGGGGAGTTCCACTGCCTATGTTTAGCTGTTGTTTCTCGGATATTTGATATAGTATCGATATGGTGGAAATATGAGAGACTGGGTGATGAAAGGGTGATCATACCATCCTGCACAGACTTCCATAGCCCCGAGGAATCCTCCTTCGAGAGACTCATGATGCCCTTCGCGGTCCCGTTTC